ACTCAGAAGCTGGGTTCCCTCTGTAGGACTCTCTTTTGAGATAAAGTCAGGGAGCTTGTTGGTTGTCTCTCCCCTCCATCTGTCCTTCTCAAGTGGCCCTGACAAAGTCTGGGTCAAGCTGTAAACCTGCAATTTTCCCAGAGGTTGCTGGAGTCCACTGAGATGGTCTAATGTCCATTGGACAGCTATGAGCCTCCGGAAGAAGTTCTTCATCTAGAGCCACCATCCTTACCTCCTTCCACAGAGAGGGTCCACAGAGTTCCCCAGGGATATGCAGGGGTCCAGGCCCAGTACAGTAACCCCAACACTTGCTCCTTCTTCCTTCCTCTTCCTTGACCCACCACCCCACCAGGCAAGGCTAAAGCTTCAGAGTGCCACTCTCCCTACATTGTAAGATTCTGTTCTGGGAGAGTCTGGCTGAGGGAGCAGCACCCTCAGATACGGAGTGGAAAGCGATGGCCAAGCATTGTGGACGGAGCTGCCTCTGAGAGGTCGGGGGAGGGCATTTTATCAGGAGTGGGGAGCAGCTAACAGATGCCTGGGCACACCCCCACCTCACCCCCCTACTTGTGCTGTCCAGGCAACTACTTTCTCTCAGAACCTTCCCCAGAGGCCACCTGGTCTCCCATGCTCATCCCACTATCCCTCGCTGAGCATCAGACCCAGTTCCCCTTCTTCAGAGCTTAGTGAAAAGAGGAAATAGCCAGATTCCTCCAATACTTCATCCATTCAGGAAACAAGTGTTTTCCAAACGTGTCTCCAGGGAGAAGTATTCCTTCCAAAGTCCATTGTGACATTTCTTTGGGGTCGTGTCTCCTTTGGTTCAGCATGGAGTGGGGAGGAGAGAACATATGCCATTCCTAGCATTCCTCTCCATGGCCACCCACAGATGGCAGGTGAGACCTTGGGGCGGCCCTCCTCCAGTGGGTTCTTGCCATTCCCAGCTGTCATCCAGGCCAATAACAACTGATGTGGCCAAGCAACCAGGCCCAGGCTTAGCCATGGACACCATCCCAGTCCTTGCACCCCCACAACCTCTTCATTCCTTGGAGACCACAGTCCAAGAAGGGATGCTAAGGGGCCACCTGAAAGGGGAGGCATCTGAAGGAAAGGGGCAAAAGGACCCAGTGCCCACAACTCCACCTTTATTAGGACCTGCCCTTGGCCTTCCTCAGAGGCAGAGCAGCCACGGCACTGAGGGGCCGAACCTACAGGCCAGTTGGCTGTGTTCCCTGAACTCTTTCCTGGCATATAATTAGATCCTCAAGCTGTAGCAATCGTTCCTATGACCTTATGTGGGCTTCTGTAGGCATGGGAATCTCCACCCCATGCGTTTTTTAAAATATGTTTTTATTGATTTCAGAGAGGAAGGAACAGGGAGAGAGAAATAGACACATCAAGGATGAGAGATGATCATGGATCAGCCGCCTCCTGCACGCCCCACACTGAGGATCGAGCCCGCAAGCCGGCCATGTGCCCTGATGGAAAATTGAATCATGAAACCATGTCATGCTTCATAGGTTGACACGGACTAAGCAACCTAATAACCACAGGCCGCCACCACCACCTGCCACTGAAGGCCCCTCCCAGGAAAAGCACAGCAAGGGAACCTGCGCTTCCATCTGCCTTAGGTGTCACCCCTCACCCTGCTCCCCTAACCACAGGCCTCCTCCCCATGGAAGACATGAGCTGAATATGGGGCTCACTCCCTCCTGTCTGCCATGCTCCACATCTGCAGGGGCAGCCAGAGCCCACGCCAGCCAGCAGCTGAGCAAGACATCCAGGCTGTGTCCAGAGAATACCTGCAGTGACTCAGAGGTGTCTGGCCTTGGACGGAGTCCACATCTCCACTCCCCAGACGGTGGGGAGATCTCCAGCGCACCAGGCCCCACATGCCTGGAGACAATCTCTTTCTAATCCTTTGATCCAGTAGCAGGAGCCATATTCTATTAAGAGACAGTGATCTCGGTGGAAAAAATAGTCATCTGAGGGGCAAACAGCGATGTCAAGTCACTTAATTTGAGTGTGTATGATGCTGAGGCTTCCATTCAACTGCAAGCGATGTAGGAAGCATGACACACACCTGATTTTTTAAAAATATTTTGTTGATTTCTTACAGAGAGGAAGGGAGAGGGATAGAGAGTTAGAAACATCAATGAGAGAGAAACATCGATCAGCTGCCTCCTGCAAACCTCCCACTGGGGATGTGCCCGCAACCAAGGTACATGCCTTTGACCGGAATTGAACCTGGGACCCTTGAGTCCGCAGGCCGATCTCTATCCACTGAGCCAAACTGGTTAGGGCCACACCTGATTTTTAAAGGAAGACAAAACCATACTTTAGTTATTTGCTGAGACTGTGGATGGAGATAAATGAGAGATGACCCCACACTCAAGGCTTTATCTTCTCAGATTTATCGAGTCTGCAAGCGGAGATAAGACATGCCACACAGCCTTGTGATTCAGGATGAAGTGAGCCATAAGCCATGAAATGCTAGCAAACTAAAGTTTTCAAAGGAAGGAGCATCCATCTCTGGCTGAATGGTAGGCAAGAGCTTTCACACAGAGGCGCCAGCTCTGAGGCTGAGCCTGGAATGTGGTCACACCTTCCTTAGACTCCCAGGCAGAGCACAACCCAGGAAGGACTAAGCCAGGATGCCCAGGGCACGCTCCCACAAACCAGGTATGGGGCTCGCCATCCATCGGGTGGAGGAGAGGCGGGGGCCAGACTGCGCAGGTTCCTGGACTGAGTGCAGCCACGTGGGCACCGAGAGACAGGCCTCAGTGAGCACGTGCATCCCTGCCCGCCGCCCTGAGCGCTGTCTGTGCGGTGAGGGCCTCGGCTGCGGTCCCCAGGGGCTGACCTCATCTCTCTCTCGCTCAGAAGCTCGGTGAGACAGAACCCTCTCTCTCCCTCAAGCGTGGTAGATGCACGCTGCCCACCACACATGGTTTCTCAACTGCAGGAAATGAAGCCAACTGTTTTGAGACAGCCTTCGGCCCTGATGGAGGGCAAGCTCCAGGCTGTGGCCGTTTTCCTGTCGAGTTTATCTTGTTTTTGGAAATAGTTCTGTTCTTAAGGGTGCTGGTCTGTGGGGAACGGGTGGGACCGGGGTGCCTGGGATGGGGTGGGGATGAGGAATGATCAGAGCCGTGTGGAGGGCAGGAGAGAGAAAGTTGGACTTAAGGGAACTCAGAGAGTCTTGAAAAAGATGCCAGACCTGGGATTGTTATTTGAGTCAAAATGAACACAATTACCAGGAAGATCTCAGAGAAGGACACTTCTGCAGTGCTTTTTGCATTTGCAAGACAAGGGTTGGATTACAAGGTAGTTAACAACCTTATGTGCTCCCTGGAGGATGCTTTTTCTGATTTTTCTTCTTTTTTTTAAGTTCCAGATCATTACAAAGGTGTGTTAACCTAGATGTAAATAAAATAAAATAAAATAAAATAAAATATAAAATAAAATAAGCCCTGGCCAGTTTGCCTCAGTGGATAGAACGTCAGCCTGCAAACTGAAAGGACCCAGGTTCGAGTCTGGGTTGTGGGCTCGATCCCCAGTGGGGGGCTTGCAGGAGGCAGCCGATCCATGATTCTCTCTCATAGTGGATGTTTCTTTCTCTCCCTCTTCCTTCTTCTCTGAAATCAATAAAAAATATTATTTTAAAAAGTGGAACAATGGACAGGGTCATCTTGTCTTGGTTAAGGCTAAGATAAGCCTCTTAGTCGTAGAGAAGTTGTATGCCTGGCTTGAGTGGATCCGAGCCCATGAGGTAAGTCAGAGTGAAAATGGGAGGTGTTTCCTAACACCCTGCATCCTATTACGAAAAGCTCTGCCTGCCTGCCTGCCTGCAGCTCTGTAAGGACCCAGTTAGAGATTAGAGGAAGTCAACCCGGGACCCAAATGGGTGAAGAACAGTGATCATCGATGGCCAGTGTGCCAACCATCTGGGCACAAAAGGAGTCAGGTGCCTCAAAGGGGGAAGCGCTGACCCTTCAGTATTCACAGAGGGTGACTCGGACCCACGCACAATCCAGACGAGGACTTGTTCCCGGTTTGCAGGGAGCAGATGGGAGACGAGAGGGAGACTCACAAGAGAGGCGGGGAGACTCGTGTGGCCAACATCCGATTAGGACCTAATGTTCTTGTCCCAGGAAAGGCACTTGGTTGAGAAGCCCTCTGACCCATTCTGGCTCGTGCTGTTCTGAACTTTTCACTCACTGCCTATTACTTTAGAGCCTGCAAGGAATGAGCCTGCCCTGGATCTTTGGCCAAACAATGTACCCACACACAGGGCCAAGCCATGCGGAGCCTTGGTCAGAAGTTCGGATCTTATCCTAAGAGCGAGGAGGGTCAAGAGGGATTTAGGCCGAGTGACGTCATTAGGCCTGGCCTGGACAAGCCTGTGGGAGACAGGAGTAGCGGCTGTGGAAGTCAGGAGGCATGGCCTACTCCTGGGGAATCAGGAGTCACCTGTACTGCTCCCTGGTGCCTCCTGCAGACCCCGGCTCCCAACACGCCCTCTTCTGCTCATTCCGGGGCCACCTTCAGAGCCAGCACGTCCGTGGCTGAAAGGCCTCCACTCTGGGGCCAAGCTGCGGGACACAGCGTGCGGAGGGGAATGCTGAGGGGAGAGGCGGGGTGCTGCTGGGCTCACTGAGAAAACACAGGACAGCCTTGTTTGGGGCGCAGTGGGTTACACAACAGTTTCCACCTGGCCAGGAGCCTGGACGGGGAAGGACACGGCTGCCAGGAAAGCCTGGTAATTGCTGGCTGGAAGAGCTGGGGGCGGGGGCTGTAGAGGCCAGGAAGTGGAGGTCTTTGGAAATGTGGGAAGCCCCGTCACCCTGTTGGCTCTTTGGCTGGCAGGTGCTCATGAGGACCTGGCCCGAGTTTTCAAAACTCTGCGGGTTTCTCAATCTCCCTTGGGCCGACAGTGCTCCTCCCCACCACTTCCCAGCCTGCTGGTTCCCTCACTGCCAGTCAGTTCCCATAAAAGGGGTGGTTTGGGGCACAGGGAGTGGAGGGAACAGGTATAAAAGGAGGGTGAGGCCCGGAAGAGGCAGCTGGTCACAGGAGCACAGCAAGAGGCCACACCATGCCCCTCTCTGCTGCGGCCAGGACGGGTCTGAGGGTGGCTCAGACAGGTCTCTGGGCTGACCAAGGGTCTGAGTTGTGGGTGTTCAGGCCGAAGGGCCCAGACGGCCTGCAGAGCCACTGCACGGAGGGGTCTGGACCTGCTGTGGGGAGAGCAGAGGCAGTGGCGGGAGAGGAAGCAGAGCCAGGGGCGGGGGAGGAGGGAGGAGGAGGGGAGGAAGTGGAGGGAGAGGAGGAGGAGGGGGGAGGGGCAGGTGCACTTGCAGGGTCTGACCCTGGTTCTCCCACAGGCTTTGTGGTCCTCCTGGTGGTGCAGAGCTGTGAGTACCCCCTTGGGTCCCAGGAGGGGGGTGGGGGTGGTGAGGAAGGATCGGCAGATTCACATTTGTTAAAGGAGGTGGAGAACAGTTACCATCGTTATCTGGATGTTTATTTTACTAGTGTCTACTTGTCTGTATATTTGAAAATTTTCAAAATACAAATATTTCCAAGGGTTCAGTGAGGCCTGGGGGAGCCCAGTGGCAGTGTGGCTGGGAGATGCCCGCTGTCCTGCCTGCAGGACCAGGAGGGCAGAAACGCTTTCTTGGCACCAGGAGGACTTGGGACCCCTGCCCTGGGGCACAGCTGGGGGAAGGGCTGCAGGGCCTGGGGGCTGACAAGCCAGGATGCCCAGAGAAGAGGCCGCCAGAGCCTCTCAGGTCAAGGACCCACCACGGGGTCTGCCAGGTCCACCCTAGAGGCCGGGGTCTCCTCCAGGAACCTTTCCTGACCTCACTCTTCTTGATCAGCCTGGGGACTCCCAGAGCCACCCCTTCATTCACATTCTAACTTTGCTCACAAGTCTGCCCTGAGTGCTGAGCTCAGGGCTCAGGGAGAGGGTCCCTGGCGGAACCCTGGCCCAGGTCCCACCTGACGTTTCCTGTAGGTGCCGCCTACCAGTTGGTCTGCTACTACACCAGCTGGTCCCAGTACCGAGAGGGGGATGGGAGCTGCTTCCCAGACGCCATAGACCCCTTCCTCTGCACCCACGTCATCTACAGCTTCGCCAACATCAGCAACGACGAGATCGACACCTGGGAGTGGAACGATGTGTCTCTCTACGACACGCTGAACACACTGAAGACCAGGTTGGGCCAGGGCAGGGGGAGGATGGAGGTGGGCCGGCTGGTCCTGGGCAGGGCACCTCTCTCCAGTGTATGGCCCAGCCTCTGGGTAGATCCTCGGAGGCCTTAGCTTACGTGGGAGGCGGTGAAGGGAGGCCTCCCCATCACTGTCACTGAGGGCGTCTCTCGGGCACATGGACCTTGCTGCTGCTCTATTTCTCCATATCCTGGATTCCCCACTGAGGAAGTGGGGGGGGGGGGGACGGGACAGGCAGCCCACCTTAGTCTTAGAAACAGAGTCTCAGGGCTGGAAGGACCTTGGAAGCCAAACCTGGGGCCACCCGGTGTCTCGGCACTTACGTCACCTGCATCCCGCCTCCTCCTCCCCACAGGAACCCCAACCTGAAGACCCTCTTGTCTGTGGGAGGATGGAACTTTGGTTCTGAAAGGTATGACCCTCCCCAGACGAAGCTGGACTAGGAGTGTGGACATGAGGCTCAGAGGGACGCCAGACTGGTTAGGCACAGGAGCCGAAATGGCCGTCAGGGCCCCACCTGGTGTACAAACAAGAGGGACTTGCCAAGAGTCTCACAACAGCTGACAGTGGAGCTTAACGCTCCTTTTTACCACCTCAGACCTGAGGCCGGACGGAGGGGGTGGAAAGAATGGGAAACGGGTGGAGAGCCTGGGAGGACTTCCCCGAGAGGGTGGTGTGGGAGCAGGGTGTACAGAGAGGGCAGGGTGTACAGAGCAGGCGGGGTGTACAGAGGGAGCGGGGCGTACAGAGGGAGCAGGGTGTACAGAGGGGGCAGGGTGTACAGAGCGGGCGGGGTGTACAGAGGGAGCAGGGTGTACAGAGGGAGCAGGGTGTACAGAGGGAGCGGGGTGTACAGAGGGAGCGGGGTGTACAGAGGGAGCGGGGTGTACAGAGGGAGCAGGGTGTACAGAGGGAGCGGGGTGTACAGAGGGGGCAGGGTGTACAGAGCAGGCGGGGTGTACAGAGGGAGCAGGGTGTACAGAGGGAGCAGGGTGTACAGAGGGAGCGGGGTGTACAGAGGGAGCAGGGTGTACAGAGGGAGCGGGGTGTACAGAGGGAGCAGGGTGTACAGAGCAGGCGGGGTGTACAGAGGGAGCGGGGTGTACAGAGGGAGCGGGGTGTACAGAGGGAGCAGGGTGTACAGAGGGGGCGGGGTGTACAGAGGGGGCAGGGTGTACAGAGCAGGCGGGGTGTACAGAGGGAGCAGGGTGTACAGAGAGAGCAGGGTGTACAGAGGGAGCGGGGTGTACAGAGGGAGCGGGGTGTACAGAGCAGGCGGGGTGTACAGAGGGAGCGGGGTGTACAGAGGGAGCAGGGTGTACAGAGGGGGCAGGGTGTACAGAGCAGGCGGGGTGTACAGAGGGAGCGGGGTGTACAGAGGGGGCAGGGTGTACAGAGCAGGCGGGGTGTACAGAGGGAGCAGGGTGTACAGAGGGAGCAGGGTGTACAGAGGGAGCGGGGTGTACAGAGGGAGCGGGGTGTACAGAGCAGGCGGGGTGTACAGAGGGAGCGGGGTGTACAGAGGGAGCAGGGTGTACAGAGGGGGCAGGGTGTACAGAGCGGGCGGGGTGTACAGAGGGAGCGGGGTGTACAGAGGGAGCAGGGTGTACAGAGGGAGCGGGGTGTACAGAGGGAGCGGGGTGTACAGAGGGAGCAGGGTGTACAGAGGGAGCAGGGTGTACAGAGGGAGCAGGGTGTACAGAGGGAGCGGGGTGTACAGAGGGAGCAGGGTGTACAGAGGGGCAGGGTGTACAGAGGGAGCAGGGTGTACAGAGGGAGTGGGGTGTACAGAGGGGGTGGGGTGTACAGAGGGAGCAGGGTGTACAGAGCGGGCAGGGTGTACAGAGGGAGCAGGGTGTACAGAGGGAGCGGGGTGTACAGAGGGAGCAGGGTGTACAGAGGGAGCGGGGTGTACAGAGGGGGCAGGGTGTACAAAGGGAGCAGGGTGTACAAAGGGGGAAGAGTGTACAGAGCAGGCGGGGTGTACAGAGGGAGCGGGGTGTACAGAGCAGGCGGGGTGTACAGAGGGGGCGGGGTGTACAGAGGGGTTGGGCACGGCCACAGCAGCTCCCATTCAGTGAGTGGTTACTAAGTGTCAGGTGCCCTTTCAGGCCATTTCACATGCAATCCTCACAGTGGCACCGAGAGAGTATATTCATCCCCATTTTACAGACGAGTGCACTGAGGCCCAGGTTACAACCTGTGAGTGGCTTGGATAGTGGGTGACGGAGCCTCCCTTGGGAACCAGGGGTGTCTGGCTCCAAAGCACATGACTAGAGTGGGTCCCACCCTGGCTGTGTCTCCTGGGGCTGTGGGCTCAGGCTCCCTGCTCCTTGGGGCACAGAAACCCCCCAGAGGGGACTGTGCCCAGTTCTCAGCACTAAGCACTCTTCTGTGGTGATTTCATTCCTAGATTTTCCAAAATAGCCTCCAACACCCAGAGTCGCAGGACTTTCATCAAGTCGGTGCCACCGTTCCTTCGGACCCATGGCTTCGACGGGCTGGACCTGGCCTGGCTCTACCCTGGACGAAGGGACAAGCGGCATCTCACCTCTCTGGTCAAGGTGCTGGTCGGGTCCGGGACATCCAGGGAGGGCAGCCCAAGCATCTCCAGGGACCGGGGAGAGCGACCGTCCAGACAGATCGCCCACAGCACCAGCCCTGGCACGCTCACTCTGGTCTCGTGTGCCTGCGGGGACAGAGCGCAGACCGAAAGGCAGTCCCCGGGAGTCCAACTGGGATCTCGCGGTCCCTCCAGGGCAGGAGTCACTGAGTGACGGGGTAGGGGGTGGGCACGGGATGAGTCCCAGGATAGGCCTGGGGACAGGACCACTGAGGTGCCACCCGTGGTCCCCGGAGCCCCTCAGGGGGCCGTGAGGTGCTCAGAACTGGCCTCCCAGCACGGGGCTCTCTCCCACCCCCGGGACCCGTTTCACCTGCGGCCTCCCTCCCACCAGGAAATGAAGGCAGAGTTTGTGAAGGAAGCCCCGAAGGAAAAGCAGCCGCTGCTCCTGACCGCCGCGGTGTCCGCCGGGAAGGTGGCCTTGGACGGAGGCTACGACATGTCCCAGCTGGCCCAGTGAGTGCCCGCCGCCTGCCCTCCATGAGAGCCAGAGGCAGCTCAGGAGGCCACGCTCCCTCTGCGTCTCGTCTCCCCGTCCGTCGTGGGGAGAACAACACCTCTCCTTCCTTTCCACTTGGGTCTTGTATGACGGTGGAGAGAGTGGCCGGGAAGGAGTTTGTGGGAAAGGAAGTAGGAGGAGCTTACACACCAGCCAGCCACGCCTGCCAGCCCGCCCGGCGCTGTCCGCAGGAGGCTCAGTGCTCCTCCCTGAGCGGCACTTCCTTGCCAGGAGGCCAGGGCAGCCTGAGAGGCTCACTCAGGCAGGTCCCCCTGTTCCTCAGCCTGCCCCCCGACCCCCAAATGAGGAGCAGCCACAGCCAAGGGCCTGATGGCCGCTAGGGCTAAGGCCTGGGCCTCAGGAAGCCAGGACTGAAGGACAAGGGCTCTGCTATGACATCAGGTCTTCTTTACCACCTTTGGGGGGTGGAGACTCAGAGCCTAAATGCACCATGAGGAGGGGAGGACTCAGGCATTTGCCCCAACACCTGATGCTCAGGTCCACGAGTCCACCTGCTGCCTCCTGTGTGCGTGTCCAGGTCTGGTACCCTTTGTCCTGCTGTCTGTTGATGACACTTTTTAAAAAATATATTTTTACTAGAGACTCAGTGCATGAAAATTCATGTAGTGGAGGGGGGTCCCTCAGCCCGGCCTGCCCCCTCTCACAGTCCAGGAGCTCTCAGGGGCGGGTGGCGACCTGGCAATCAGGGGAAGGCGACGCCCCCGTCACACCTCTGCTGCTGCCACTGCCAGCAGCGCAAGCCTCGGCTGGCCCTGGTTACCTGAGCCTCGGGCGGCCCTGGGTGGCTGGGCAGCTGCCATCCGAGGCTTGCCTGTGCCTTGAGCCAGCCCTGGGCGGCTGGGGGCCTGGCCTTGCGGCGTGCCTGCCTCTGAAGTCTCACAGTCCCCTCAGCACCCTAGCCACCCAGGGCCAACATCCAAGGCTTGCCTGTGCCTCAGGCTAGCCCTGGGAGGCTGGGGGCTAAGGGGACTGGGGAACTCTAGAGGCAGGTGCATGGCAAGGCCAGGCCCGCCTGGGGGCAGGCCCAGCCTTGCAGCACACCTGCTGCCCTGGCGGGGCTGAGGGGACTGGGCACTACCATCTTGTGGCTGTGGGTGCCGCCATCTCTGAGGGTGGGGCAGTCATTTAGCATATTCCCTCCTCATTAGCTGTGGGCGCCACCATCTTTGTGACAGCACGACAGTCAATTAGCATATTTCCTCTTTATTAGACAGGATTGATGTCAGAGAGGAAGGGAGAGGGAGACATAGAAACATCGATGTTGAGAGAGAATAATGGATCAGTGGCCTCCTGCATGCCTTCTACTGGGGATGGAGCCCATAACCCAGGCATGTGCCCCAACCGGGAATCAAACCCTGACCTCCCAGTTCATAGGTCGACACTCAACCACTGAGCCACAGCAGACGGGCAGTTGATGACAGCCTTAATCTGCTCTCAGCACAATGAACGTATGGGCTGGAGGGGTCCGGTCTGGGAGCCTGGACAGTGGATCACTGGGCGAGACTGGGTTGGGTGGATGGCCCGTCTCTCCAGTCTGCCCTGCTCACATCCCGCGGGACTGGCAGCTTCTCTAGTTCCCACCTCGCTCTCCCTCTGCTCCCATAGACACCTGGACTTCATCAACCTCCTGACCTATGACTTCCATGGAGCCTGGCGCCAGAGCGCGGGACACCACAGCCCCCTGTTCCGAGGCAAGGAGGTCGCCAGTTCTGACAGATACAGCAACGCTGTGAGTGGGGGAGGGCCCTGCATGGCAGGGGCTACGGTCCCAGGTCATAGATGCGGAGACTGAGGCTCAGGGGCCACGTGTCCCCACAGTCTGAGAACAGAGGGTGCCACCCCTCTGTGGAGGAGCCAGACCTCAACTGATGGCCCCGGGGGGCGCGTGCAGGCCGAGGGGGGACGAGAGGATGGGGGCCCGGGGCTGAGGAGGCCGGTTGGGTCTAGACCTGCCTTTTGCTGACCGTGGAGCCTGAGCCCGCCGTCCGGTTTCACAGCTGTCGTAGCTGACACTCCTCCCTGTGCTCAGAAGGCTTTTTGAGACCCAAGCTGTGCAGTGCCCTTTAGACTGAGGTTATGGGTCCCTGGGAGGAAGGGGAGCCCCAGGTGTGTGTAGGACAGACTGACAGCTCCACTGTCCCCCACCCCCCAGGCCTACGCCGTGGGCTACGCGCTCAGGCTGGGGGTCCCGGCCAAGAAGCTGCTCATGGGCATCCCCACCTTCGGGAGGAGCTTCACGCTGGCCTCTTCGAAGAGCGGAGTGGGAGCCCCCATCTCGGGGCCCGGGCTGCCCGGCCAGTTCACCAAGGAAGGCGGGATCCTCGCTTACTATGAGGTGTGACTCGGGAGAAGGGAGTTCCTGGGGAAGGTGAGCCGCCGCCCACACCCTCTGCTCTTCGTGTTCCAGGGGACAGGCATCCAGGCTGAGGGGAGTCAGGCACACCCGGTCTTCCTCTGTCCGCTAGCCCCAGGTGCTTTGGTTTCTGGCGGCCTCTGCTGTTCGCAGCCAGGACCATAGAGCTGGGGACATGGGCCTCTGTTCCCACAGCGAGCGGGCAGCCAGGCGTCTGCCCAAGGGCACATGTGCCTGCGGCTGAAAGGCTGGAGGAGTCGCACCCTGTGCCCTGCAGCCCCTCACACCCCGACTGTCCTCTGCTCAGATCTGTGACTTCCTTCATGGAGCGACCGTGCATCGACTCCCTGACCAGCAGGTCCCCTATGCCACCAAGGGCAACCAGTGGGTGGGGTACGATGACCAGGAGAGCGTCAAAAACAAGGTAGGTCTCCCAGGCCATGCCCCAGGAGGGAGAGGGAGAGGAGCCCAGGGTGCCCTGCTGGAGGGCGATGCTGAGTCACCTGGGGAGGGGCCAGGACAGCAGGTCCCCCCTACGCACATCAGGCAGGTAACCCAGCGCTGCCCCTCTGGGCCTCCCCTGCCAGGTGCAGTACCTGAAGAACCAGGGGCTGGCAGGAGCCATGGTGTGGGCCCTGGACCTGGACGACTTCCGGGGCACCTTCTGCGGCCAGAATCTTCACTTCCCCCTCACCAGTGCCATCAAGGAAGCCCTGGCTGCCGCTTAGCGCTCCGTCCGTCCAGCACATGCTGGGCAGGGGTTCTTGCTCCCAGGGTTCTTGCTGCTCAGGAGCTGGTCACCTGCCCCGCTGCACCTCAGTCTCCTTCCCTGGTCCTGCAGAGGGTCCAGCTCTGAGCTCTGCGCTCAGCTTTGTGGGCTTGCAGGGGGCGGCGGGGCTGTGGGCAGTGAGGGCTGGATCCCCACAGTGTCAGGCAGGGACAGCACACACGTTGAGGAGTGAAAACGCCACTCCCTCCCTGGGCCTTCTCGGCAGAGGCCACACGAGCAAGCTCCTCCACCCAGCACAGAAGTCATGCAGGAAGCAGTGACCACACAGATCACAGCCTCCGCATGCCCAGCTTCAAACCTCTACCAGGAGCGTCCTCATGCCTCCCTCCCAACCCCCAGCTGCTCAATAAAGCACCAGAACTTCTGTATTGGCACTTGCTGACCCGTCTCTGAGGCCCATGGGCTCCTCTCTCCCCTCTCGTCTGGGTTCCTCTCTCCCAAGTTTGGGGGCCCTGAGCTTGCAGAAGGAGAGGCCAGCATGGTCACTGCCAGGGCCTTGGGAGTCCCCAAAAGAGGCAGCCTCTTCAAACCCGCCTGCCTGGCTCCACCCGGCAGGGCTGAGAGTGTCCACTGGAACTCACTGTCATCCAGAGCTCTCGCCTCAGCTCCTTGTTGAGAGAACCCTGTTTCTATAAGGCCAGCATGAAGGAGAAGGAGGGACGCCCCAATCCTAACCCTTCATCTGCCAGGGGAGATGTAGGCGCCAGCACAGGGCCAGGGTGCAGAGCTCTGACTCAACTTCCAGCTGGGAGGAGACACCAGGTTGCATCACGTGTCCTCCCTTCGCCCAGGTCTGGATCCAGCTTCCCCATGGTCCTGCCCTTCCCAAGGGCTCACCGCCATGGAGGGGCCCTTCCTATCGCCACAGCAACCCCGTCCCCTCATCTCTCTCCTGGGACACACTGAGCCCTCAGTCCAGCAGGGCTCCTCAGCCAGGCTGGCCTGAGACATGGGGTGGGCAGGAGGGGACGTGTGGGATGACGGCTGTGCAGGCAGAGAAAGTCCTCGAGGATTCGTTTGTGGAGGATCTGGTGTTTGGACTCTGTGACTTGGCCAGTGGTTTGTGACGCTGGTTTGAGGTGCAGGGAAGGAAATACCTATTGGCTGCATTGAAATCTGAACCAGCTGGAGCTGGGCAGATGCAGCTGGTCTCAAGGTCACAGCTCAGCCAAAGGCAGGGAAGGTGGGGACCTGACCAGAGCCTGGGGGTACGTGACCTTTCCCCGCCGGCCCGTGGGGCCAAGCTTCCCTGATCCCTGAAAGAAATACAGGCCATGCGTGCTTTCGCGTGTATGGTGTACCCACCACACAGGGTCTTTGAAAGCCGGGCTATGAGCCCTCCAGGGCGGCCACCCCTCCACCCTGCCCCCTGGCCCAGCCTTCCTCCGACTGGGACACGCCCAGCAGGGGTGACTCAGGGTCCTGCACTTAGTCACGTTCACTTATAGCTGCAGACTCAGCGCAAGGGATGGGGATCGGTCTCCAGGGCCCACCCCTGCCCGGCAGGACCCTGAGTCGCCTGGCACCGGCCCCCACGCCACTCCCCACAAGGACAGCCAGGGGAGAGAGGCAGCCACGCGCGTGGCCTCACCCCGGGGACAGAGAAGACTGCCTGCGGCTGAGGACCTGCATAAGCTACACGTGTGCTGGACTTGACATGGGGGACACCGTCCAGGCTGAAGCAGGCCTGGCCTGTGTTTCTTTCATTTAAAGAATTGATTTATTGTGAAAACTTGTGTAGCCGCCACCCAGGACAGGAAACGAGACCTCAGAAATGCTCCTGAAACTCTGCTCGCGGCAGCCACATCCTGGCTTCCTCCGGGTCTCGCCACCTGGGGACGCCCCTGGGATCAGAGAGCCGGCCACTGACTGCGTCTGCATTGGATGTGGGTGGGATGACGGCGTGGTGCTTGGTGGGTGCAGACTCTCTCACAGTCGCCTACGCACCGCCCGCCGGGGCAGCGCTCTCCGAGCTGCCAGCTGTGGCGCATGATCCTGTGGGGACGGTTCCTGCAGGGCGGTCTCCCGAGAGCCTCGGGCTGGCACCGCGGGGCGTGGAGTGTGCACTGTGCTCTGCCACGTTTTCCAAAGGGGATCCCTCCGTCCACACGCCCAGCAGCAGTAAGAGCTCTGGTCTCCGTCTCCCTGACCCTAGTGCTGTCCGGATTTAGATGGTCACCAATCTGGCATGTTAGGGATGAATGAACCAGGGACTACAAATATGTACCTGCCTCATTTCCTCCACTGCCAATGCCCACGCCAGGCCCTGCTTTGAAGTATCTAGAAGGTTCCGAGTGCTGGCTTCCTCCATGGTCCTTCCCACACTTGCCTTACTGACATGAACCACCCCAGGGCTGGGGGTCTGTCAGCGGCGCTGTGATAGGTGGGGCAACGGAGGCCCCAAGAGGGTCCTGCCAGCATCTCAGAGAGCCAGTAACAGGGCCCTGGACCCCCTTCCTGGGATCCCTTTGCTGAGAGACCCACCTTGGCACCCCAACTCCTCCCTCGCTAGGGCCCTCGGCAACGTACAACACAAGGGAGACCCCCGGGAATGGGGGGGCGGGGGCATGGCTCCCAGGGGAGGCTATTTCTGGCAGTCTGGGCCCCAGCCCCAGGCTCCGGGGCCTGGCCACACGTGACCCCCAGGAGGCCAAGGCGGCCTGAGCTGGGTTCACCCTCCAGATGGAAGCTCTTGTTGCCACTGCCCTGACCCCTGGCACCAGCCACTGCCAGCGTCCTATCTCACCCATCTGTGCCTTCCTCCCATCTGGGCACCAGCACCCTGGCTGCTGGGAGCCAACCCGGGTGATGGACGACACAGTGCCCTCTCAAGGGACCCTCCGTCCCTCCCCCAGAGCTATTCCTGGCCGAGGCGCCTCCCCACTCCCAGCCCCCACCTGGCCTGACCCCACAGCTGGGAACCATTTGGCCGGGGGTGGGGCAGCCCTGCCTATATAAGCCTGGTCCTAGGTGTCTCAGGCACCCTGGAGGCCCAGACCCTCCACAGCTGACCTCTGCACACTCAGCCTGACCACAGCCAGCCCGGCAATGACAGCGACCTCGCAGGCCCCTGACTATGGTCCGGAGGAGCCCGCCTCCGAGGTGCCCATGGTGCCCACAGAGCCCTCGGGAGAAGGGGCAGCATCGAAGGCCTCAGGGCAGGAGCAGCCTCCCGCAGCAACCACTGAGGCTCCTGCCCCCGCAGCCTCGCAGGCCCCTGACCATGGTCCAGAGGAGCCAGCCTCAGAGGTGCCCACGGAGCCCACGGTGCCCACGGAGCCCTCAGGAGAAGGGGCAGCATCGGAGGCCATGGGGGAGGAGCAGGCTCCCACGGCAACCCCTGAGGCACCTGCCCCCGAAGCCACTACACCTGCACCTCGAAGTGAAGGTGACCAGAGGTGGGGCGGGCAGAGGAGGGGCAGGCAGGGCCGAAGATGGGGGGACTCTAGACCACACACCTTTCCTCTCCCCTCCTTCTCCCACAGACGTGCCCAGTGTCCCGCTGCAGCTGACCATCGAGGACGTGAGCGACTGCTCGGTGACCGTGAGCTGGGAGCCTCCGGAGAGGCTGGGGAGTCAGGGCCTCCAGGGCTACCTGCTGGAGCTCCGCAAGGAGGGAGGTGAGCTCTGGGCAAAGCCCCGTGGGCACCAGAGCGTGGGCTTGGGGGCCGCCAGCCCCAGACCCCACTCCATGCCAGGAAGGCGAGGAGGCAGGAGGGTCAGCGTGTCCCCAGGAAGTGCTTGTCCCCCAGCTCCAGGGAGCCCCTGAGTGGCAGCGCCTGGGATGGGGACAGGGCACGGCTCTGCGAAGAAGTGAGGGAGGGGCTGCCTCTCAGAAGACCCCGCAGGGGGAGGGCAAGCAGCAGGCAGAGCAGAGGAGCTGGGGGTGGAGGGAGGGTGAGACGGTGGGGAGAAATGGGACACATTCCTGTTTCCACCTCCATGGCACCAAGCTCGGCCTGGCCTCGGCCTCTGACCCGACCTTGCTGTGCGACTTGGCCACTGTGTCCTCCCTCTGAGCTGGAGAACCCTCCTCTGGCCACTGTGTCCTCCCTCTGAGCTGGAGAACCCTCCTCTGGCCACTGTGTCCTCCCTCTGAGCTGGAGAACCCTTCTCTGGCCACTCGCCCAGCCCTTCCATCAGGTGTCCTCCATGCATAGAAACGAGGGGCCGGGAACGGGAGGAAAGGGGAACTAGGCCCAACTCCTCGGCGAGATGGGTGCCCATGGCCACGAAGCCAGGGCCTCCCGGCCTCTCCCTCCTCAGCCTCGGAATGGGTGCCCGTGAATGCCCGGCCCATGATGGTGACCCAGCAGACCGTGCGGAAACTGGCCCCGGGAGACAAGTTCTTCTTGCGCGTGGCTGCTGTTAACCCTGCGGGAGCCGGCCCCCCCGCAACGCTGGACCAGCCCATCCACATCCGGGAGATCATCGGTAAGGCCTGGCGTCCCACCCCAGCCCGTCCCAGGCACTCATGGGGTGGATGGAGAAGCTGAGGCCAATGGGCAGAGGGGACAGGCCGTCATTCCTGTCCCTATCATGCGCACAAGCCACATGCTGTCGCCATCTTGCCTTTAGAAAGTTCCAGGTTCCCAGCAGCAAGGACCCTCTGAAGGTCCAAGAGCCCATTTCTCTGAGTGGCCCATCACCCAAGCTTTGGGGAAAGGGCTTCCTGACCCCAAAAATGAAGGCTCAGCTCCCCTGGTCACCTGCCTCAGGGCCCCAATGCTACACTCATCCTGCCCATCTTCCTGTCTAGTCTTCCCCTGAGAGCCATGAACGCTCCTTCCTGCTCCTTCCTGCTCCTTCCTCTGGCCTGGGTTCCAGAGCTCCCTTGGGGTCCAGGTCTCTGGTGGGAGGAAGACAGGGCCCTAGAACGGCCCATGAAGGTTTCTCCATCCCCAGAGAGCAGCACCACCTTGGGGACCTGGGAGCCCAGCTGTTTCCCTTGCTAAGATTTCTATTTGTGGGGTGCAACCAGCCTCACACCTACCCCTGTTCCCTGCCAGAGCCGGTCAGATTTCAGTCTGTTCACAGCCGTGAGTCATTCCTTCGGCTCCAAGGTCTCTGGGGACAGCCCAGGGCGCAGTGAGGAGAGGTACAGGCCAGCAGGTGGCTGAGGCCTCCTCACCTCCGTCCTTGCTCCGCACCTCCAGCCTCCAGGGGGAACCCACAGGTCTGAGCAAGGCCTCCAGAAACAGGGGTTTTCACGGCCACAGGAAGGGTCAAGCTTGGGTTCAAGGCGATATCTCAGCTCCAGGGCCCGGGAGATGTGACCACGGGAACTTAGAACCCTTGGCTGTCAAGCTGGTGCCCAGGATCAGGGACTCTGGGGAGACCCAGGCTCCGGTGCAGCCCCTCCCAGGACCTGCCTCCACACAGGACCTCTCCTGCCTCCAGGGGGCAGGGAATGTTCTCCCTGGTTTTCAAAAGCCAAGGGTGCTCCCAGCCTTAGAGTCTGCAGCACAGACACAAAGACCTGTAGGGAGGGCCCTGGACCTTCCCTGGGGCCCCAGGGAGCTCAGGCTCTGCGAGGCCGCAGGGCCCAGCCTCTACCCCGAAGCCCAGCGCTGACAGCCAGCCTCGGCCCCTGCTACTCCGCGAGAATTCCTCTGGCAGCTGAGAAGGGGATTTCCTGGAGAGAAGAGGGGAGAGACTGTGAACAAACAGGGACCAGCCAGCCCTCCTGGTGGGCAGGGCAGGGTGGGGGCCTGTCCAGGTTCCTCGGCTGCTCAGCTGTCCCTCCTTGGCCACCTGCAGCTGCCAAGCATTCCACCCCGAAGCTCCCAGAGCCAAGTGCCCACACAGCTAATCCTTGGAGACACAGTGTTCCTTCTCCCTGTCTCCTCCCTCCGCCCTGTGAGCCACCAACTGCCGCCACCTGTCCGACCAGAAGCCTCAGTCACCACCCCCACCCCTGCCCGGGGCAGCGGCTTGGCTGGGCTGTCTCCCCAGGAATGCCCGTGGTGCAGGGCTGCACCTAGTTGGGTGATGGTCAGGACCGTGGTGTCCTGTCCTCGTAGATTCCAGAAAGGCTTCCCGACTGAGAGACTGGATGGGGGGGGACAGGGGTTGGGGGAGTGGGGGGGTGCGGAGGGGGGAGCTGGGGGGAGCGGGAGGTTGGGGGGTTGGGGGGCTGGCAGGGAGGGGGGGAGCTGGGGGAGCGGGGGGTGGGGCAGAGAAGAAGAGAATTATCTACTCTGGCGTCTTCTAGGAAGAACATCTCCCAACCTTCCCACGTGACCAGGAGGCAGAGCAAGAGCACTTGGGTCTCTTGGAAGGTCCTGGGCTCTTGTGGGTGGAGGGGCTAGGTTCGGGCCTAGGCTGTGCCCCTTTCTGGGAATGCAGGTCCCCAACATCTGGACCCAGGAATCTGGGGCTGTAGGAGAATCCCAGCCAGCAGGGTACAGGAACCTTGGGAGTCCAGATGCTTCTCCATCCACACCATGGAGGCCTGCCCTGCTGGGACTTTCTGGCTTAGTTACCCAAGGGCTTTAGGGGAGTTGGGGCCCCTCGATTTCAGGAGCAAGTTTCATTCATCCCACATAATGGCCCCACAACACACACAAGAGCCCTCCTGCCCAGCCCTCAGGCCTCACCAATCAGCAAGCCCAGCGCTGTGCTGAGCCGACTCTCCCTTTGATGCAGAGGCACCCAAGATCCGTGTGCCCCGCCACCTGCGTCAGACCTACATCCGCCAGGTGGGAGAGATGGTCAACCTGCAGATTCCCTTCCAGGTGTGTGTGGGAATCAGGGTACCAGCTTGGGTGGAAATCAGGGCCCCTTTGGGGCGGTCAGAAGAGCCCAGGAAATGGCAGGATCTCTGTGGAGGGTCTGTTTGGGACCCCTCCCAGAGGCTCCCCCTCCTGCACGTTCTCCAACCTATGGACGGGGCAGCTCGCCCCAAGGCTGGCTGGACATCCATGGGTGACAGTCTGGGCAGCAGCTGGGGCTCCAGCCTCTGCTGCCCCTCCTGGGAGGACTGGTGGGGATGGCTCCCTGCACACAGCTCCAGAGACCCCAGCGTGGGGTGGCTGTAGGTGCTGGCACCTCCCTGCACACCCTGAGGGCTCCTCCCTCCCAGGGGAATCCCAAGCCTCAAGTCTCGTGGACCCACAACGGCCAAGCTTTGGACAGCAAGAGAGTGAGCGTGCGCACCGGGGACCAGGACTCCATCCTCTTCATCCGCTCAGCCCAGCGCTCAGACTCAGGCTGCTATGAGCTCACTGTGAGGCTGGAAAGCCTGGAGGCCCGGGCAGCCATCAACATCCTGGTCATTGGTATGGAGCAGGGGAGGCAGCGTGCCTCGCCAGGGCCAGACACCCCCGCCTCCTGCACCACAGCTGATGCTCATGGGGTCAGGCCAGGGGAGTGTGATAGGAGCAAGATCCGGGGGGTGGGGGTTGTCCGGCCAGCACAGCCCGCCCCTCACCCCTCCTGACACTGGTCCTGCAGAGAAGCCCAACCCGCCCAGCAGCATCCGGCTAGTGGACGTCTGGGGCTGCAATGTGGCCCTCGAGTGGACGCCGCCCCAGGACACCGGCAACACTGAGCTTCTGGGCTACACGGTGCAGAAGGCTGACAAGAAGACGGAGGTGAGGCTCCCGGGCCAACCTGGGTGGGGAAGTGTGACTGGGCGAAGTCGGGGGAAGGCCCAGCTCACTGAGAGTCGGGGAATGAGCTCAGGTCTGCCTACCACTAGCCTGACTCCTCCTGCGGCTTTAGGCACGATCCCTTTCATCTCTGGGCCTCATTTCCCCCATGAAGACTGCAGGGGGCGTGGGAGGGGGGGGGATGCTCTCTGGGGACCCCAGAGAGGTCACCCGAATGACCCAGAGGCCCCTCCTCCCAAATTGAAAGTCCCTCAGGCCCAAGGTAGATGCTGCAGCCTCCCCGGGGAGTAGCAGCCGGGTGAGCAGGAGGGTGAGGTGGGTGGGCTGTGATGACAGGGCGGGTCCCCGCAGCAATGGTTCACCGTGCTGGAACGCTACCATCCGACCACCTGCACCATCTCCGACCTCATCGTGGGCAACTCGTACTCCTTCCGGGTCTTTTCGGAAAACCTATGTGGACTCAGTGACTCACCCGCCATCACCAAGGAGCTGGCCCACATCCGGAAGATAGGTAGGTCTGGGCCCGGACAGGAGGTAAGCTAGGCCCAGCAAGGCTGACTCTCTCCCCGTTTCCATCTCCACCTCTACCTTTTCCTGGTGTGTCAGCTGCCCTCTCATGGATGCCACTCCACACACAACTATGCACACACACAGCCATGCACACACACACAGCCATACACACACAGTCATGCACAGCTGTACACGCACAGCCATGCACACACAGCCATGCACACACAGCCATGCACACACACACAGACAAGCACACACAGCCATTCACACACACACAGCCATGCACACACACAGCCATGCACAGCTATGCACGCACAGCCATGCACACATACAGCCGTGCACACACACACAGTCATGCACAGCCGTGTACACACACGCAACTGCAAAGGGATGGATGTGGTGGATGATTGAACAAGTACATTCGAGTGTCTCATGCAAATAAGAAGGGTCCCTTGGGAGAGGGAGACTGTGTATTTATTCCACAGATGCCCTGTGGCTGCCGACATCAGAGTGGTCATTAGGCCTCAGGTGCACTGTCCCCAAAGAACCAGCATGAGGGCAGTGGGGCCAGTGGACTCTGGCAAGTTTGCTGATAGCACAGACCTCCAACCCTAATATAACTCCACGTGGATGGACGGGAGAGACTCAGCATTTACTCTCCACATGGGGCAAGACCCCTCACGTCGAAGGTTAAATCCCAGGCCCTTTCTCCGTCACCCTGCGTGCTCCAAGGCCCTCCCCACGCGGAGGCACACACTTGTTAACAGCAGCCTGAGTTGCACAGAATTAGGAAGAAATTTTTGTTTAAAAAAGGAAAGCCAGTTATTTCTCCAAAGACAAACAGAAATAAAATGTAGTATCTCCAGACTGCTGGTCTCCACCATCAGCCAAGATCCTCTCCTCTCTCTGGCTCTCCTGCCCACCCTCTCAGCTCCCCTTGCTCTGCCCCGGGACACTCTGTCCTACGTCCCCACACACGGGCCAGGAGCCTGGGGCCCGCCAGGGCGCTCAGAGGAGGGGCAGGAGGGCATGGATTGTCATCGTCCCCTGGACGCTAAGACCTTCCTCCAGGCCGTCAGAGCCACAGTCGTCAGAAGATGCCTAGAGAGAAGCTGTAGCGATCGTTTGGGGAAAAGGGCTGAGGTCCATCCTAAGAGATCTCCTCCTATAATCTCAAATTTACCTCATTTTCTCCCATGAACCCAGATATTGTTGCCAAACTTAAAGGGTTTGTTGAGAGAGACTTCTCAGAAGCCCCTTCCTTCACCCAGCCCCTGGCTGACCACACCACCACCTCCGGCTACAGCACCCAGCTCTCCTGCAGCGTGCGAGCGTCACCCAAGGTGAGCGCAGGCCTGGCTGTGCCTCGGGGGCGGTGGGGCTGAGGAGTCTGGCCTGGGAGAGCCCGTCCCAGCCCACAGCCTGCCCAGCCTCCCTGTGGCCGTGCTCCCCAGCCCAAGATCATCTGGATGAAGAACAACATGAACATCCAGGGGGACCCCAAATACCGCACCTTCTCTGAGCAAGGCGTCTACACCCTGGAGATCCGGAAACCCAGCCCCTTTGATTCCGGGGTCTACACCTGCAAGGCCGTCAACATGCTGGGGGAGGCGTCTGTGGACTGCCGGCTGGAGGTCAAAGGTGAGGGTTGGAGGAGGGTCTCTCCTGAGGGACATGCCAGGGGGGAGAACAGGAGATGCACCTCTTCTCCTGCGAGACCAGAGGAGGCCGAGCCCTGAAAACCCGCAGGACAGGGCAGTGCGATCGCGGGGGGGGGGGGGGGGGGCCGCCAGGACTGTCCACGCTCGGGAGGGCGGCCTATGTGGGCAGAGGAGTAGGGGTGTCCACCTGGGAGGTGTCCATGAACTGCTCTGGTTTCTCCACCCCCAACCTGGGCCCCCGAGGACCCCCCAGCTCTGACCTGTGGGATCTCTTCCAGCCTTAGCCACACACTGAGGAGCACCGAGGAGGCTGTGATGGAGACACAGGTAAATGCTGGACCTGCTCCCGGTGCCGCATCTGGGCAGAGACGGGGCAGGTGAGAAGGGGAGGGGCAGTCAGCGTGGGCACAGGTCTGCAGTCACACACAGTCCAGAGACGGGGCAGCTGGCAGGCAGGGCAATGCTGGTGGGGCCCCGGGACAGTGATTTGGTGGACGGTCCAGTCCTGGCTCTGAGTGACCTGGGGCTGGGGTGCCCTCTTGGACCTGTTTCTCATCAGAAAATTGGGGCCCACAGCATGTGCCCACCTTCTCTGCGAGGTGGTTCTTAGGTGCTGGACGGGGGGAAGGGGCTGAGCACAGACGTGAGGAAGGAGAGAGGGCCCGCTTTCCCTGCCCTCCTCACCCCTCAGCCCGGTTTGCCAAGACCAGGGTCATGGAACGTGTTCTCTGCCAGGTGCTGTGGGCCTGAGGGGTCAGGGCCGCCAGGCCCATATCCGACGCCATGAGTCTCCAGACCCCTCTGTTGTGATGACGGACGGACAGCTCTGCTCCCTGGCACCAGCCTCACCTCCCTCCACCCGAGGCTGCAGCCCAGTGCCCAGGAGTGGGCCTGGCAGCCCCCAGGACAGGCTTACTGGGCACAAGGGCCCTGGACGGTGCCAAAATTGCTGTGCCCTGCAAAGAGCTGCATGCTGGGCAAGAAACAGTCCAATAAAGGTGCATGTGTACCATCGGGGACTCTGACAGTGATGATCGTCTGGGGGGAGGCGCCGTGTCACTGCAAAGTGGTGAATGCATCGCCATTAGGGGTCTCCCCATGGGACCCCACGCGCAAGGTCCACGGGAGGGGACTCAGGAGTCAGGGGGTTTCTTGACCTGAGATGTTTCAGGATCTTGCTCTCACGTTCAGGGCTTGCCAGCCCAAGCCAATAGCTGTAAGAACACACGCCCCCCTCGCAGGAACCGGGGGGAGCCAGGGGGCTCCACGTTGCCCGGCTCCCACTCCTTGACCTCCCCAGTGAGTCCTCTCTGCGAGGCTGTCTGTCGCCCTCGGGTGTGGCGGTGGGTGCCTAGCAGTGGCTCTGCATGTGGATTCACAGTCTTTTATTAGTCATGTGCCCCCTGGGAGCAGGGCACAGCACCTCTGAGAGAGGCCAGGGCCTGGAATCAAGGCCTGGAGTCGCTACTCACACAGAATCCGCCCCTCCACCCTCTGCACCAGGGCTCTGAGCCCGGCATGGGGGGCTCTTCCCCAGAAACCCTGAAACCCTCGGCTCTGCAGGGACCCCACAGCCCTGAAAACCGGGCTGCATGCCAGGGCCCTGGGGGTAGTGAAAGGCCAGCAGGACCTTCCGCCTCCTCTCTCAGGGGCTGGACCCTCTGTCTGGCTCAGGCCTGTCACCCCCCATCCCAGGAGGCCCAGGCAGCCACTCCCCTGGCCCAGCCCTCGGCAGGAGGCACGATGCTCTCGAGAGCTGACGGGTCTCCATCAGGCCCAGGCCCAGCAGGGAAGGCTGCCACTTAGGAGAGTCCAGGCCTCTCTGGGGGCAGGTGGACCTGCTGGGCTGGTCCTGGATGACAGCTAGTCACACTCCAGCTTCCTCCTGGGGACGCTCAGTGCTGCCAGCTGATGGCTGGGTGAGGCCCACACCACCACGCCCTACTGGCTGCTGGGCTCCAAGCCCCCACCAGGCTCCAAAGGCTGGTGCAGAATAAAGTGAACGTTGGAAATGACGTCTGCAGTGGCTCTTCCGACCTCCCTCTCAAGTACAGTCTCGGCTGCTCAGAGCAAGGGGGCGGCACCGTGGCCCCCAGCGTGGCCGGGAACCTGGGGCTGGGTAGGTAGGGCCTGAGGCTCCTTCGTGGCTGCCCCTCACTGGCTCGGGCCACCTTCTCCTTCAGAGAAAGCATCTTCTTCACGCATCTTGGAGGGGATGTCCTCCCTCCTGAGGCCTGGTCCCAGGCTGCAGGGTCAAGCCGCTGAGACGAGAGCGCCCCCACCTGCAGGAGCGGAGATGGCCTCCCCACCGCGGGGCCCTTTGCCTGAAGCAGGGGCTGCCCAGGGACAGGCAGCAGGTGGGGTGGCTCAAGCCACTTCCCTCCTTCCTCAGGTTGCCTGGTCTCCCCCCATGGACGGCCCCCACACCCCCAGCCCGCCCGGGGAGGCCCATGGAGACAGTTAGATGGTGGAGAGTGAGGGCCGCGCTGAGGTGCTCTGGCTGTGGGCAGGGAGAGTCTAGTCGTCCGGCCTCTCTTCCGGGGGGCCCTCGTCCACGGGGGGTGCGGGCTGGCAGCGGAAATGGTCGTTCCAAATCTTGAGGAAGGTGACCCGGAACTTCTGGATGCGGAAGGCGTAGACGATGGGGTTCATGGCAGAGTTGCCGTGCGTGAGGAAGATGGCGATGTAGGTGAGGAGGCTGGGCTTGCGGCAGCTCGGGCAGAAGAGGGTGATGCAGTTCAGGATGTGCAGGGGCAGCCAGCTGAGCGCGAAGAGGAGGAGGATGAGCGCCAGCGACTTGGCGATCTTCAGCTCCTTTCCGTAGTACTTGTGCGGGTCGCCCGAGGAGGCCGACACCTTCTTGCTGAGCTGCCGGCGGATCAGGTAGAACACCTCCAGGTAGACGAGCGCCATGAGCAGCAGCGGCGGCAGCACCCAGACGAAGAAGTTGAAGTAGACCATGTACTCCATGCTGATGACCTTCTCAAACTCGCACTTGATCACGGGCTCCCCGGCGCTGCCGTTGGCCGCCCAGGCCCGCTGCACCGCACCCAGGTTGTTCCAGCCAAACATGGGCGTCAGGCCCACCACGAGGGAGAGGATCCAGCAGCCGGCGATGGCCACCGCGGCCCTGCGGGGCGTCACCACCGTCTTGTACCTGGGGAGGGAGGGCAGAGTGTGAGTCCCCCGTGAGGCTCCCCGACCCCCCCCCCCCCGGGGAGGCCACCCCCACCAGGGCCCAGGGAGCGGGGAGTGTGTGACTTTGGCTAACGTGCCAATTTCTCAGGATCTGCGATTCGGACACGCACTGGCTCACCTCTCTTGGTTGATGATAGAAATCATAACTGAAAGCAGAGGACACTCCTTAGGAGTTTTAATAAAATCACCAACGTGAAATCGCCGTGTGTGCTGGGCGTGTCCCCTGGTGGCCTCATCCCTGTTTCACGACCCCCTCGTGGGTGGGGAGCGTCAGCAGGTGAAGACACGGAGGAGAACAGAGCCCTGCGACTTGCCGGGGCTCCCCAACTCCTGTCCCCACCGGCCACTCAGACACCTCCCCGAGTGGCAACGCTCAGGAACATTCACACCCTCCTCTGGGCTCGTCCACTCCCCGGCCAGCTCCCCATCGCCCAGCTCCTCCGCCCGCCCTTCCCCTCCCCTCCCTGTCACTGCACACGGCTTGGCCTCAAGAACCGGCTGTGCACCCCCGGGCTCATGTTCAGCAAGCTCTGCGTGCTGTGGGTCCCGGGCACTGCTCTCCGCTGGGAGTGAGACGAGGACCCGCCTCTCTCAGCTCACCTTTGGGAGAAGACACAGAGAACACAAAAGGAGGAGATCGGGCAACAGGCAGCTGCAGGCTGTGACCTGTCCTTGAAAGGAAACGCGAGGGAAGATGTCGAGGGAACGAGCTGTCACAGGACAGGATACACGGACGCTGTAAACATGTGGATGATACAGAATCTACCGAGGTGACGACCCCGCACCCCCCACTGAGGCCGAGGGTGTCCATGTCCCCACGTCCCGTGAAGCACGCCCGGCCAGCAGCCACCGTGTCCTCTGGCCACACACGGCCTCGGAGAAGGAGCCAAAGGCCGGACACCTGGCTCCGTGCGAGGAGCTGGCTCAGCACAGCCGCCCGCCCGTGGTTATTTTCCAAAGCGGCTTCCAAGCCAGCGGTGGCTGCCCTGTGAGCCTGTAAACAGCTACTGAGACCCAGGGTGTGAGGGGCCTCCCTCCAGCTGCTTCTCTTCCCGCGCCTGTGGCTCTCGCCTTCACAGCAATGACGCCCAAGGCCCTTCCTCCTGGGGCCTTTCCACCCACCACAGACGGGAAGGGGAGGGGCGGTTTGGGGTGGGAGGAATCTGCAAAGCAAGGTGGATGGGAGCCTCATTTCTAATCTCCTTATCTTTCCGGTGGGGACACTGAGGAACCCAGGTGACTCCCCCATCCTCCCCTCCCCTGTGATCATGCATCCTGTGTCCCCACAGCACAGCCCTGAGAGCTGCCCCACTGGCCGCGCCTGCCTGGGGTTCCCTCCGCCTGCACCTTTGCTCAGCTACAGCTCAAGCCGTTCCCTCCACGGGGACCCCAGCAGGAAGGAGACCAAATCTGGCCCCCAGGTCTGCAAGCTACTACATCAACTCCTCCTCTGAGAAATGGGCCCGCGGGACCCACGTCAGAGGGTGAGGACCCGATAACATGTATAAACACCCCCAGTCCTCCTGGGCCTGGGCTCCCACACCTCCAAACCCCTTGAAACATTCCCACCTGGAACCCTCTGGTGTCTCAAGGTGCTCAGCAAACGCAAGCTCTGCCAGCATCTGGCTCAGGCTTGTTCCTGAGACTTCGGGTGTCTCCAATGTCCCCAAGAAGCTTGGCCATGAGTCTACGGGGCCAGACCGAAGGGCACAGGTCATCCCGTGGAGAGAGAAGGAGGCGAGGGACACAGGGACCCGGGCCACCTCAGCTGCAGAAGGAAGGGTGGCGGCCGGGCACCACCCACATCTGCAGGGTTTATAGCGCATTTATTGTCGACAAGCCCTTTCACATTCATGCCTCAGGGAACCCCGTAGCATCCTGGGAGGAACCCCAATTTCAGATTCAAGACCCAGAAACAGCAGTCGTGTGCCATCTCTCCTGGCTCCATGTCGCCTGCTCTGAGACCCGCTCTCCTTCAGGGCGACAGCTGCCTGGGCTGTTTGGATGCAGGATGATTGGCAGAGTGAGAAGGTCCCTTTCCTACAAGTTCACACATGGGAACGGCTGGCCCCTGTTCTAAGAAGAACCTCCAGAGATGAGGGTGGGCCATGAGGACCCACCGAGAGAGGAGGTGGTACTGACAGTGTCCAGGTGGGAGGCGGCGGGGAGGCAACTCCTAGTGAGAGAGGGCCCCCCCTCCCTTCCTGACTTCCTGGAGCCCCTGGATCACCTCGTTCCTGGGCTCCTCCAGGGCCAGGTCCCAGCAGACCCTGCAGCCAGGGTATCAGTTCTCATCTGTTTTTCTTGCTATTTTCTCCATGGTGGGAAAGAGCCAGACTCAGGACCTTGGCTGAGGTGGGGCAGGCTCTCACAGGAAGGGCTGCCCCTCCCACCCCCTGCCGGCTAGAGAGCAGCCCCCCTCTCCTCCACGTGGGAAAGAAAAGCGGAGGCTGCTCGTCCGGGGTGCACAGCGGGTGAGGCACGCTGGTGTGCCTCCGACACTTGGGGTGTCCCTCCCAAATCAGGGTGCAAGGCCTGGCCACCTCGGGGCTGTGCTGGGAACTAGCCCTCGAGGTGAGACGAGACGCTGCCCTCAGGAGTGAGCTGCCCAGCCGAGGGGGAGCCACAGGAGGCAGTGACACTCCCAGTGGGGCCCTGTCCACAGGCAGCTCCTTGAAGATACCATCCAAGGGACGGCCCACCACCTCCAACCCCTCAGGGCCTGAGACCCACACTGTGAGCCTGTGCTTCGGGCTGAGAGCTGCCCTCTCTGTTATTCTTAGGAGCAGAGATAACTCCAGCTCCATGGCATGAGTCAATCTATTAGTATCTCCTGTCGAAGATCAACGTGGAAGGACAGTGGGGGGAGGGGGCACAGACTCTCAGAGGGAGGGCAGAGCCTGAAGGAAAGGCAGGAGAGGGGGTCCCCATGCCGAGAGCGAGCCTGGGAAAGTCATTCCCACTGTAGCTGGTGCCAGAGCAAGTGAAAGGCTCAGAAGTGGGGTTAGAGGCCAAGACTACAAACCCTGGGGCTCCAGGAAGAGTGACGGGTGAGGAGGGGGCCAGGGCGGGAGGCGGGGCCACAGGTGTGATCTGGGTTGGTCACCCAGGGCTGGGCGGAGAACTGTCAAGGTTCTGGGGTTTGTTCTAAGCCCTACAGCCCCTTTGCTGGGCCGAGGACGGAGGAGCGGCTGGAGCACGCTGGTCCTGAAGCCCTGCTCCGAGTCCCACGGTCTGAGCCCCCACAGTGGCATTTCCCTGGCTCGTGAGCCAGGTGGGTCCTCGGGAGGCACGGCAGTGCCCACGGGAAGGGACAGAAGCCAGGACAGCTCTCCCCTCTCTGTCTCCGAGGCCGCGGGTGCCAGGCAGCAGCCGTGTCTCCTCCTTGGCTCCACCTCCCACAGGGAGGCCACCACATTGCAGCCCTGGGTCCCAGACCCGCCTCCCCCTGCACCCTGCAGCCCAGGGTGGGGTCGCCTGCTGGTGGTGCCGACCTCTGCTCCTCGCTGACCCCTGCCTGGCTTAGGGTGTGTCGTCATGGCTGTGGCCAATTTCAGGCCTCAAAGGCCTTCCGTGGTAAACACGCACATGATCCCCGTGTCCTGGTTAGGCCCCAAAGGTTCGGCACGACACTGGAGCGGGAAGAACTGAGTGTGGTCACCAGAGGACTCAGGACTGCCAGCCGCTTCGTAGATTTGTGTTGACTCAGAAGGAAAGAGAGAGAATCGTACAGGGGGTTGGGAACGGCACGGGGTGAGGAAGCGTCCAGCCAACTGCTGAAACCGGGGCAGGGCCCCAAGACCTGGCCGTCCTCCGCTTCCCTGTCGCCGACTCCCGCAAGGAGCCCACGGCTGGGTGCGGGTCAGGGGGGCAGCACCCTCTGCTGCCCTGAGGCTCAGGTGGCACCGGCCAAACCCTGTCTGGCTTCCTCTTCGCTGGCGTCTGAGGAGGAAGCTATTCACTGCGCCTGTCCTCTCCCCCTGCCTCCCTCCTCGGCAGGGATCTCAGCCACTTGTAACTGAAAACTTGGATCTTGAGACCAGGAAGTATGGCTTTCAGATCATTAAACTACTTCCTGCCAAGAAATTCTTCCTCCCCAAGGAGCACAGGAAACCAGATACAATCAAGGGCATCAGAGGCTCTGGCACACTCCAGGGGCCACGTCTTTAGCATTAACTTTGCCCAGAGGAGTGTGGGTGAAGGGCCCAGGAGGGGCTGGACGTCTGGGCCCCGAGATCCGGCTGAGAATCTCGCTGCCCGGGCCCGTGGCATCGCCCGGCATCTGGGAATGTCTGCGCCTCGTCCCCAAGGGCACCTCCTGACCCGGCCAGCACCCAGCGCTACGGGAGGGAGGGCCCTGGCTCCGTGAAGGAAGGAGCAGAATGTGTCTCTCGGCTCTTTGTGTCATGGGCCTTGGAAGTCGCTCCTGCTCACTTGTGAGGACAAATAACCCACAGGCTGGCGGGAAAGACCAGCCGCTGTGGGTGCCCCCCCACCCTTTCCGACTCAGTTTCTGGTCCTTTCCTGCCCCTGCGCATCTGGGAGGAGCAGAAGGAAGACAGCCCTGCCTCGGGGAGCCCTGTCCGATGGAGGCACAGCCCCTGCGCAAAGGGAGCGCCCAGTGGAGGGCCAGCTGGTGCGGTAGCATCTGAGGCCACACCCCCTCAGAGGTCGCACAGGTACTGACCTCACGTGTGCCCTGTCCCTGGTGCTCCCGCTCGCACACCGAGGGGCTTGGGTTTGCTCAGAAGTTCTGACCCAGAGGAGTCCACAGGGAGAGGTGCTGGGAGGAGGTTCTCTGACCCCGAGGCCGGCTGCAGGCCCCACATCCCAGGGGCCGACGGTCCTTGGGGAAGAGGGCGTCTGACCCGGCAGTTACCTTGGGAGACTGCCCTGACCGCAGCACTCCAGCCACTTCCCGCTCGGAGACCTGGCTCTCTCCAGCCCCAGCAAAGCCAGGACGGTCCCACCTGCTGTGGGTGACTTTCCAGCTCATCAGGAGGCATGGAAAAATCCATCCTGTCTGCGCAGGGATTCAATGACCTGTGAGAGGCTGTGCAGCCAGGCCTGCCCGGGGCGTCCACAGCATCCAGGAGGTAACATTCCTTCCCAGTGAAGTGGAAAGGCCTGGCATTGTGGGGACAAGGAGCAGACCGTGGTCACCTAAAGGGGTGGCAGAGTCCCACACCTGGCTGGCACGGAGGAGGGAGCTGAACTGTTTAGTGTCTCATCTCATTGTCCTGGGCTTGAGAGCACAGAGAGGGACCCACACTGCCCAGCGAGGGGGGCCTGCACCGGAAGCAGCCGGGTCAGGACCCCGAGAGCGGCCTCCTGCCTGGAATAGTGGCGCTGGCGTCAGGAGAACAGGGTCAGTCAGGCCGCTGGGGAGGAAGCTGT